TTTACACCCGGGGAAACGAAAGCATTAGCGAAGTCTAAAGTTCATCAATGAGCGCGGGCGTCGGTCACCAACGATGGGTGGTCATCCTCACTGATCTAACAAATATAGCGGACCGTCATGATAACGGACACTGATTGGTCCAATTTAAAGTTTTCATTATAACGACTGCATGACGACAGCGAAATAGCAAACATCTCTTGATTTGATGATTGATAAATTTCTTGCAAATATATTTCATTTTTGCTCGTATTTCTGCAAATTTTGTAAATTTCAAGAAAGAAAAGGCAAAAGAGTCGGCTAAAAGAAGGGAGCCGACGTTAACGAAGGTAAGTTTGTTTTAAATATTGATATTATAATGGCTTTAAAACCCGACGGCTTTTGCGTATATGAAACAACTAAACAAGACAGCATATAATATCAGTGTATCTTTAATATTGATTCCCTTTTTTATTATATTGAATTTTTTAAATAAAAAATAAGCAAAGTTATTTGCAAGCGAGAATTTGAAATCATTTTATTGCAAACTCGAAGTTTATCGATAAAGCCATTTATTAAATAGCTAAAGGCAGTTTAGTTTTATAAAGAACACTTTAGAACGTTTTGTGAAGCTTGTATTAACGATAATTACATACCTAACATATATATGTTGGGAAATTGATAATTTTGTAATTAAATGTGATATTTTAAGGCAATTTTCATTTGTAAGAATGTTCTTAAAAAATTATCGTGTTACCATGACAACCACTTTAGATACTTCATGTTCGGAAAATACAATGGTTTTGTCAGGAAGGCGAGGGTTTCTGCATGCATGCATTTTCTAGTATGCTGTCTTGTTTAGTTGTTTCATATACGCAAAAGCCGTCGGGTTTTAAAGCCATTATAATATCAATATTTAAGAGTTACCTTCGTTAACGTCGGCTCCTTCTTTTAGCTGATTCTTTCGCCCTTTCTTTCTTGAAATTTACAAAATCTTGCAGAAATGCGAGCAAAAATGAAGAATACTTGCAAGAAATTTATCAGTCATCAACTCATCAAATCAAGAAATGTTTGCTATTTCGCTGTCGTCATGCAGCCGTTATAATGCAAACTTTAAATTGGACCAATCAGTGTCCGTTATTCATGACAGTCCGCCATATTTTTGTGATCAGTGAGAATGACCACCCATCGTTGGTGACCGACGCCCGCGCTCATTGATGAACTTTAGACTTCGCTAATGCTTTCGTTTCCCCGGGTGTAAATAGCCGGGGGGAATTAGTACCCTCGCACGGCGCTTCGCGCCGCCGGCTCGGGGACAAAGAAAGTCGAGTTCATATTCATGTAATTAACAGATTATGTCTTTATAGCTATCCAAGTTTTCTCCTTATTATGTACATTATTCTTACTAGTGAAAGCAATATTAAATGTATTAATCTTCATATTCTTGTAAATACTTTTACCACTGATTGACAGAATATAAAGCTTTACAGTGTGCACTGGACATTAACTATGTCCTTACCTTAAAAGCCTATGAAGGTTTCTTTAGACTCCTAGCCATATTTATAGTTGTAGCTTTAATACTTTTATGTAAATAATTACCATATTCATTGGGCGAAATAAATAAATAATACATCTTCTTACCCTCTTCTAGGATAGAACAATCGTCACTCTGTAGAAAGCCGTCATCTTCGTTTTACTGCCTGTTCGCAGACATACAGCCCCCAATTAGTCGACCTGAGTGTTTAACGCACGCCCCCACAAACTCGATAGCATAGTCAGTGAATTATATACATGGAAGGTTGACTTCAGTCAGTGACGTAATAAAAAAGTGAAGGCAAAGATGAATTCACACGTGTGATTTCATGTGAAATCATGTGATAACATGTTAAATTATGTGATCTTATGTGAAATTTAACATGTGAAAAAATTTCACATGAAATCACATGTGAAATTTCACAAATGAAAGGATTTCACATGAAATCACATGTGACACTATTTCACATGTGAAAAGATTTCACATGAAATCACATGTGAAATTTCACATGTGAAAAGATTTCACATGAAATCACATGTGACATTTCACATGTGAAAGAATTTCACATGAAATCACATGTGACATTTCACATGTGAAAAGATTTCACATGAAATCACAAGTGAAATTTCACATGTGAAAGAATTTCACATAAACGTTACAAACTGACAAAGTGAAATTTACATGTACGTGAAAGGATTTCACATGAAATTACAAGTGAAATTTCACATGTGAAAAGATAAGGATTTCATATGAATTACAAATTACAAAGTGAAATTTCACATGTACGTGACAGGATTTCACATGAAATTACGACTGAAATTTCACATGTGAAAAGATGACGATTTCACATGAATTACAAATTACAAAGTGAAATTTCACATGTACGTGAAAGGATTTCACATTAAATTACAAGTCAAATTTCACATGTGAAAAGATAAGGATTTCACATGAATTACAAATTACAAAGTGAAATTTCACATGTATGTGACACGATTTCACATGAAATTACGACTGAAATTTCACATGTGAAAAGATGACAATTTCACATGAATTACAAATTACAAAGT